TGAGAGTCCCTGCTGGGCCCAGATGGCCCGGCCTCTCCCTCAGCACCACCACACTGCGGCTTCTCTCGCTGGCTAAAGTCACTTTGTGACCAGCGATCGGAACAGCCTGCATAAAATTACCACAAACTAAAAAAAAACAGCTGCTTGGCAAAAAAGGGAGGACATCTATAATAAAACATCCAGCCAGGAGTCCACTCACAATTTATTCCTGCTGGTTCCTGTGCTGCAGTACCTCAAGTTAACCACTAGATGTCCCTCCAGCTCCACGCTGTGCACAGCAGTGTGCAGCTGTGTGTGAAAGAAGGCTGCTGAGATCCTTCTAACCATGATTAATGGCCCCATTCAAAGGTAAGGAGCTCAGAGGATAACTTCTTTTACTGTAAGCCACAGTGCTGTGGCCCTGGGAGCGCCCTGAGCTCCCGCTGTAGCACTGAGACGAGGAAAACGGTGTCCGGTAGACAGGAGGTGTAAAACGGACACATCAGAAGCTAGATCAAACAGGAAGAGACCTTCTGTGTGTTTGTCTGCCATTCATTCTCACATTTATAGCCATTTATCAGTATTTACTGCAACAGATGTGCCTGGCGTCCACACTGGTGAAACAGAGGTCCACGTGAACGTGTGAGCAGCCAGGTCACATGATCAGGTAGAGGTAAAAACCATGATGGCCTCTGAGGTCTTTGTCGTCACACCTCCACCAATTACTCTATCAAGTCTGACTGTTCAGATGTGTGTGTGTGTGTGAAACACACTGAACAGGGAAAAGTCCTACTTCTGTTCACAAGAAGCTAAGCTTTCCTGTATTCTTTCAAGGTGGTCTGGATCAGTGCTTTTCCAGGATTTTTGAAAGTTTTCTTTGGACTTTATGTTTATGTTTATTCATTTAGCAGACGCTTTCATCCAAAGCGACTTACAATTTATAACCTATAGGGCATGTTGTGATCTGTGGGGGAAACCGGAGTACCTGGAGGAAACCCACGCATGCATGGGGAGAACACGCAACTCCATGCAGAAAGACTGCAGCCGAGTTTCGAACCTGCAACCTTCGTGCTGCGAGGCAACAGTGCTAACCACTGCGTCACCACTTTGGCTGCTTTTTAACCGTTCTCTGACCTTTTCTAGTACCTGATCATAAAAGTTCATGAGATTTGAAAAAAGGAGAAAACTGGACAGAAAAAAAGTGTTGATCACCAGTTTGGATGACCTGTGTCCAACAGTCGTGTCCTTACACAAAGACCTGAAACAGGACCTCAGGATGCACAGTAGAACATCTAACAACCCTATGGGAACCACAACACGACTGTGAAGTACCACTGTGCGTGTCAACCAGGGTTCCCTTTGCTGGGTTCGTTCATTTAACTAAAAAAAAGAAAGATCAAATTGTGTTTGGTAACACAGTTTTTGGCTTAGTTATGTGTCAACACAACACTGGTTCATTCCTTGTGTGTGAAAACCTTTTAGTGCCTCAATAATTCATAGGTCAGTTAGCTGGCTTACTGGAGGAAAAGGTCTGTGGAAAATGATCAGATTTAGTCTGAATAAAAAGTTTAAAAGCAGCCAAGACCTTAAGAATGTCTTCAGAAGTCCGCCTTAAAGGTTTACAGGAAAGCGGAGTTCCTTAAAAAGACTCTAGCACAGAGCTGTAACTAAAATGTCCAGCATTTATCTCAAAGTCTAAACTAATTAGGCAGAAAGATAAACTTTTAAAATAATCAAAAGTGTAAAAGCTGAGTTGGCGTGTCTGATCTTGAGTTTAGATCAAACTAAAATAATTTGAATATGGTGCAAAAGTCAATTTATGTCTGAGAGACCATCTAAAGGCTCAGGAACCCACTGCATGTGTTTAGGATTCATTAGCCGATTAGAGCGTGACACTTTGAGTCTAGAATATTGATCCTTTTCACAATATTCTTGAGTTGAATTCTTACACTGATTAAGAAAAAGACCAGATTATCCAACTGGACCGAGTGCAGCTCTGGATTAAAGACGAATCAAGCATGAACATTCATACCTGACTCACCGCCAAAGCCGATTTCTATGAGACAAACGCCCGACGCTAATGCAACATCAGCAGTGGAGCGAACGGCAACAAACATTTAGACTTGAGGTTTTCTGGAGTGACAACGTGCTAAACCTCCTTCAGGATTACAGAACAGTGTGTGGCTCTGGTGACAAGTGGACTCCTACACTTACACTCCTTAGACATCCCCACTTCCAGGCACTTCTGTAACCGACAGTACTGGCAGCGATTACGGGTGACTTTGTTGATGATGCAGTTCTTCTCTCGGTGACACGTGTACACCATGTTCTTCTGGATACTTCTTCGAAAGAAGCCCTGCACGACAGAAACACACAAGGATCAAACGATGGAAATTAAATCATAACTGAAGTTTTACTGTTTCTGTTATTAATCTTTTTCTGTGTTTGTGCCACCATGTTTCTTCTGCAGGGGTCATACACACCGAGTAAGCACTCCTCGCAGAGCTGCTGCTACAAAACACTGGCCTATGGAGCACTGACGTCCATAATGGGCTTAATCTGTGCTCCATTTACCCCTAGAAACAGGGAACAGAGCCTCCCCCGGTCTGATCAGGTATCAGTCAACGCTGGTGCACCAACTGTTGGTAAACCGCTATCATCACCTCACTCAGAGATGACAAGCTCTAAAGGTTTTAGGCCAAAAGGCACATGGACACCAAGCGGCAGATGTGTAGTGTTTATTAGAAGGTCTGAAATCCTCCAGATTTAGGTCTGGTCTATATCCAGATGTTCCTGAATCGACTCAGTAGAAATTCAAAAATTGTCTCAGATTTTATGAGACGTGAAGTGTGATGAGAGGAAACAAACTATTTCTTGTTTAGAGAATCAGAATCCACTTCACACATTTCTGACCTGCATGTACAAGTTTACCCAACAGAACCATAATACGTTAAAAAAAATCACATTTAAATTATGATTCTGTGGCTCATAGTCCGTATTTAGTGTGGATGAGTTCACAGACCAGGATCGGTGTCGCATTTTTAATTGCTACTGGTCAATGAAGCATTCACGAAGCCATTAACAAATCAGATTTTTCAGCTTCGGATCCAGACTTCTTTACGTTTGATTGTACAAAACCCCAACCCATGCACCAAATAGCACATTTACTCCCAGAAAGTTGTAGCAAAGGCTAAAAAAGATTTAAACAAATCCAAATCTTTGCTTCTGAAGTCATCTGTGAACTGAAAATAAGGTCTTTTAACCCTTTCTTGTATGGATTACACACACACACACACGCACGCACGCACGCACGCACGCACACACACACACACACACACACACACACACCTTTCTAGCCATCTACTGTAGTGGACCAAAGGGTTAAGACTTCCCAGATCAGACCGACCAAACAATCAGATGAAAAGCCAAGCAGTGCAACTTATATTATCCTCTAATACCGGGCGACTAATAAAAGTCGGTGCTAATCTCGGCGGTCCCGCCGCCTAAACATTCCGTGTGTGTCAAAAAGATTAAAAAGAGGTTAATGCAAATCAGGCGCGGCCGGGCGAGGTCTCAGTGAGCAGGGATGTGGACAAATGTAATACAGGTCAGTGTCAGGATTGATGTTAACGCAGTGGGCAAAGCTTCGGTTTCACAGGAGCGTGGATGGGAACGTTGAGCGGGGAGGGAGTCCCAGCGCCTGTGGATTAGCTCTGCTAGCCGCAATTTGTCCTTCGCAGATCACCAGCCGCCTCTCACATCTCCTACCCACCGCCGCAGAGTGGAAGTGAGTCAGACTTCAGACGAACTAGAAAGCGGAAGTGTGTGCTGTTTGTCCCGTTTCTCATCCGTCTGAGCAAAGCAATACTGCCGATATCGATTCCACAAGACAGCCTTTGTTCTGGTCTCGAAGGGGCTTAAAAGTCTGGGCTGGCGCTTACAGCTCTACTTCTAACGGGCCAAACACAAACTCAACGGTAAACAGAGGTTTCCCCGGACCATAGCCGACAGAGGAACAGGTTTCCAGCAGGAGACGAACGGCAAACGACAAAAACAAGGCTTGTAGTTTTAATTTTATTTGTGGCTGCTGATGCTGAGGGATTAGTCTGTGGTCTTTGTGTGTATCATCTCCTCTTTGATCCGACAGTGCCCTGACCCTGACCTGGATGTCACCAGGGGATTGACCCGCTCATCCCCCCATCCACTCCCCGGGTGTGAGGCGCAGGTGCCCCCTCGGAGCATCTCCTGATTGGATGCTGCTGCTGGCTCGTGCGTTCATCCCTGTTCCCCCTCCACCTCCTCTTCTTCTTCCTTTTGGAGTCACTGCTTCCTGCGGCCCTTAAGCCTCTTTTTCTATCAGCGCTTAATCCAGCCGGCGACAACAGCCCTCAGCGGGCCTGTCAGCCACCCCGGCCCGCTGAGATCTCAGGAGACGAGAGCTGCGAGGACTGGAGGGGCGGCTGTAACAACACATTTGTAGTTACATTTGTCTTATGCTTCTTATCGTAGTGCTGACGACCTATAAGTTATGAGCCTCGTGTAATTATGCGCTCTCTTCCTGGTAAGTGGGGCTGGTTCACAGAGAAGCACAGGAATCCTGTTTTACACGACTTTCATGCTGTTTCCAGATTAAGAGTGCATTCCCAGCCTCCCACTGTGACCGTGTTTGTGTGAATATTGCTGCGCCTGTCACGCCGCCTCTACTGAAAATCAGCAGATTCAACAAACCACATATTTTGTAAAAGACACACATTTTGTATAAAAAAAAACAAAAATAACTGCCTGAGTGACACGTCAAACCGAGAGCATGGACCAGCAGACGGAACTGCTGGAGAAAGTTGAGGCAAATGGTGGAAACGTTCTCCGCAGTGCCATGCCTTCAAGACAAAAACATAAACACGAGGGGGTGGGGGTGCATATTTAACGCGTAAGTGCTAATATCTGCAGGCAAAAAGAAGCTCCTTCCACCGAAGAATGTGCGGGCGGCAGAACTTCCAACCAGCGAGTGAGCTGTCTCCAGGTTGCAGCGCTCCACATGCACCCCTCGTTTCCTCGGCTCACTGCAGCCCCCAGGACATGCCTTTGTAGTCAGGCACGCTGCAGCAAATCTGACGCTGCTAACCCCCAACTTACCCCAGTCTCAAATGAGACGCCGTATACATACATGCACTATATACACGCCTGTAGTCGTGAATTATTGAGTATGCTATAGCGAGTCATCCCCTCTGAAGTGGGAAAATACGGTGAAGGCTTCCTGATCTGTAAATTAGCACTGCAGATACTGCAGGAAGTTGGCTCTCTGTTTGTGAAGCACTTAGTGACTTGTGTCTGTGAAAAGTGCTACACAAAGAAACTTCTTCACAGGTGGAGCACAACCAGCCCCACATCCGCCGTTTGATGAAAGGCTTTTTAACGCTCAGTGATTTAAAATAACCGCTAGTGTACACCAACATCATACTGCAGAAGAGTCCAGCATCACTTCCTGTTGGGTTTAAAATGATGAGTTTACAACTCATAATGCCTGCTTTAGGGCTGCACAATATATCGCAAATATATCGATATCGCAATATCAGCATGTGCAATGCGCATATCGCAAAGAACAGATAAATATCGCAATGAATGGTCAGCTCAGATGTTTGCTACACATGATGCATTCTGTCAAACGGAAGTATTATGTTTTTTTAGCAAATCAAATAAAACTCTTCACTCATTGGGCCAATTGGGTGGGTTCTCATAGGATAGATGGCCGCCCCTGAGGCGGAGGGCACTTAATTTTGATGGTTAGCAAACACCTGAGTTAGCTTTGCTCTGCTCTTTCTGCTGATTCTGCTTTTCCCGGGATCCACTGATCGCCTTTTCTTGTCCGTTTTATTTTTCCCTTTCCTCACATCTTTTGCTTTTCTCCTTTTTATGATTTTTTTTGTAATTTTGTTATTTCTTTGTTTTTGATTATTTTTGTTCCTGAGTTAAGCTTTTATTTATCGCAAGTTATATCGTCTTCACAATATTAATCACTGTTATCGCATATCGCTGGTTTTCCTAATAGCCCTAGTCTGCTTTCAACCAACTCAAGCTCTAGATACTCAAATTATCAGGTCTAAAACATTTAATATGGTCTATTTTATATTTAATGAGCTTAAAATGAAATTAAACACGTGAACAGACCTGATGCACGTGCGATCTTTAACTCGCTAGCTCTAGATTTTCTAGCAGAAACCAGAAGAACAAGCCGTCATAAGCAATGACGTTAAATATTTTATAGGTTCATCTTGAATTCTTTTGATCAGTGCAGAGTGCAAAATGGTCCAAAACATAAAAGCAAACCATAAATTGGGACGTTGCAAATCTTTTAAGATTCAAAAAAAAGGTGAGAGAAAACTCCTGATTCATCCATTCATTTGCTGTCTTAACCTCTTCATCCTCAGTAGAGTCACAGGGAGCTGGTGTCCAACTCCAGCAGTCAGAGGGACAGAGCTGGGGGACGACCTGGACAAGTCTCCAGCCCATCACATAGAGACAAACAACCAGTCACTCACACATATAGGGACAAATTAAAGTCTTCAGTTAATCCAACATATGTGTTTTTGATCTGTGAGACCGAGAAACCTGAGAAAAACCACACATGCATGAGAACATGCTACTGCATGCATAAAAGCTGCAGCAGAGATTTGAACCTGTGACCTTTTTGCTGTGAGACAACAGTGCTACCAACTGTGCCACGATGCCGCTCACGCCAGAGTAAAGCTCTGCAAGCTGCAGCAGCAAGATTCCCAAATGGAGTTCAAACTGTACAACCTCACTCACATAACAAACCTAAACCATGGCAAGGCAAATGACAAACTCCACACTTTATCTGAACCTCTCACTAAATGACCGTTTACTCTTCCCGCTCCTAAAGGGATCCTTCATCTTTTTTACCGTGTCTCTGTGTGAACATTAAAATCATAATCATAAACGACTTTGTTTATTTTTCCAGACTAATTACGAACCCTGGGGAACGTTTTTGTCTGCACTTGACCCATCCTTACAAAGCTATGGAGCAGCGGGCTGTAGTTTGTGCCACGCCCGGGGGAGGGGGGGGGGGGGGCAACTTGGAGTCAGCACCTTGCCCGAGGATGCATCGTCTGCCGGGACCGGGGTTCGATCCTGTGACCTCTGGATCATGGGACAAATGCTCTATCCATTCAGCCACAGTCACAGTCCAAGTCTGCGCTCCTCAGGACTGATGAGCTAACGACTAGCCTGACCAAAGTGCACCGCCGCTTAAAACGGCTCCAATCTCCTGAATATTAAAATCGCTCACCCGAGGTCTTTTTTTTTCTCATGTCACACATTTTCTGGATCTTAAACGGGAACAAATGCCATCTGAACCTGACCCTATATATGCTTCTAAATAACTTTGTGATGCATCATTACTGACACTATTCTTTTTTAATCACAAGAATTGCAGTGAAATTTAGTAGACTGAGGTAAATTGAGTTGTTTTATTGCTCAGATTGACCTTTAGGTCATCACTCCTGAATAATGTAAACTATTCCTCTGAACAGAGGTTGTTCAAGAACAAGTACGGGAGTAATTATTTGCAACCTTCACACAGAAACATGCTTCATAGAGGCTGAAATATCCCTTTAAGCTCTGACTGTCTGCCTTTTACAGTCGGTATGTCCAGCCGTGGACCTTGTGCCCCATCTACCTAATCTCCTGCCTCCCAAAGCCTAATCTGCCCCCTCCTCCCCTCCCCCACCGCCATGTTGCAGCACTTCCCATCTCTAAATCATTTTGTCTGCATTTGCACTCTCCCCTCAGGATATTACAGCTCTACTGAATATGCCTCCTGCCACTTGACCTCTCTGCTAAATTGACAAAAACACTAAAATAAACAGAAAGACCAGAGTGGCTCTGTGGAGAGACGTGCACCTCCTCCTCGTCCCGGTGCTCCTGAGAGCTTACACAACTCTGGCTCCTTCTTCTTGGAAAACAGGGAGATAAAGAAGTCTGTGTTCATGCTAAAAGGAGGACATGTATGCACGTACGGCCACTATCAACTGATAGCAGAGCAGATGGGGGTTATGAGGCCTCTTCAGCACCTGTGCAACAACAGGCCTGTATTGATAACAGACAGCAGAATTGGACGCGTCAGCAACAACGTCGAAGAAGAAGAAGAAAAACCCTGCACGGATGACAGAACTGTGTACACGGTTTGTGATCGGAGACACGTATGCAGGATCTTATGAGTGCAGCAAACCATATGATAGACATGGCCGCTCCTTTACCATGAAAGCATTCTAACTTATTTCCAAATCAAATTCTAGCATCAAGCTCTAAAAAGGCACATAGGAATGTGAAATACTTAAAAGAGCTGGTTTATAGTTACATCACCTCAACTCTGAGAAGGTGTTTTTTTTTGTTTCCCTCCCGTGAAAATCACAGGAAGGTTATAAGATTGATGAAAATGTTGCTTGCTTGGCAGATTCAGAGGAAGGCCGGCAGTCTTACCTTGCAGCCTTCACAGGCGCTGACACCATAGTGGTACCCTGAGGACTTGTCCTGGCACACAAAGCAGGGCTTGTAGACGCGGGGCGGCGGGGGAGGCGAGGGCGGGCTTGGCACTATCTCCTCTGAACTGGTACTCTGGGTCTCTATCGCTGCGGAGAGGAAGGAGCAACGGGGGTGGGGGGTGGTTAGTGAACGCTATCAGATGGAGCCCTGACAGACACTCGGCATTAATCAATACCAGTGGGATACACACACACGTATGCACACACACACACATGCACGCACACACACACGCACGCACGCACGCACGCACTCAATACGAATCAATGCTTCTACAAATGTGTCACAAACACAAAAGCAGGTTAAGATCTAAAGAAAACTTCCTTATCAGGTGTGTTATCAACACGAGGCCCGTCAACCCCAGCAGCATTCCTGTTTGTCCCGAAAACGACTTATTTGTGTGTACGTGTGTTGCTGTGAGCATCGGCAGCAGGGTTCAAAGACTAGTTTTCTCCTCTGATACCAGACCTGGAGTTCTGCCTCGCTGTTAAAAATTCAGCATTTCTTTTGAGAGCATGTGCTTCAATTGACTACAGGATCAAACACACACACACACACACACACACGCGCACACACGCGCGCACACACACACACACACACACACACTCCTCCAAGATGAGTCTTTGTGTTGCCTTGGTCCCAGCCCATATTTATCTTTTATTTATTCAGCAGCACATCAGCACACAGCAGGTTAAACATGCTCCGGCTCCTTCCAGTAAAGGTTACATTGACAAAGCAAACAGCGTATGGGCAGGGATTATGGGGACGTAACCTGTCTTCACATAATACGCGTTGGACTTTGACCTCAATATCATGTGTTGCAAAATGCAGCTTTTAAATCAATAATAAAAACACATTCACTGCTCAGAGCTTCCACTCTTTTGACCGTTTAAGTCCAAAATCTCTAGTGGATGGAGACGCTGAGGAATACGAGGAAGATCTTCTTTAGATGGTTCATTTCAGGTGATGAACGAGCCTCGATGCTAACTTCTGATAGTCCAGCTTCACCTGGACAGTGGTCTCTGGGAGTGTCCGTCTAGAGGAGTCGGAGGTTTGGACACAAACGAAATGATGAGGAGGAGAAGCCCAGGCGAGTCTACTCTGAAGGTTTAGGCTTTTGTAAGAATCAGCTGCATCTAGCTAGTAGATCTCGGCAAGAGCAAAGGAAGGATTTTAAAATCTAGATGAAAATGAGACCTTTTCATCTTCAAAACAAGATGATGGTGTCCAATAAGGGACGCTTTTGAGACATGAGGAAGTTGTCTCAAACTACCTTTGGTTAAAAACTCAGACCCAGGCTTGGGTCCAAGCAGGCCTTCAGCCACACGGTACCAACAGCGCCTGCTCTGGTAAAGAGCAGAGCTTCTAAATGGAATGCAGCCCTTTTTATAAACCAGAGCTTTCATTTCCTTACAGCTCAAGTCTAAAAACAATTAAACAAAAGGTTTGCATCTCCTTATTCCAGCAGAAACATGACCAGAGGTTTTACAATCTGAACTAGGAAGTGCTGCAGTTAGCTAGCTCCGCCGCTAATAGAAACTCCATGTTCATTTCTTTGTAAAGCTCCGTTTATGTCAAATCACAGGCTGATAAAATAACTATCACACGATGTTCCTGAAATTAAGAGCTGGTTTGAGATGGCAACAATCTACCGGGGAACCAGGGCAGCTCTGACTAGCCGTTAGCTCATCCATCCAGTAAGAACTAACCTCTTTTACTTCCACAGAAAGGATTTAAGCTAAAGTATTTTACAGTAAAAACACTTAACAGTAAAGGTATGCTATTAAAAAGAGAGCTAATAAAAACATTCAGTATTTGCTTAAACGGTGTAATAATTTACACTCAGCGTTGAAGTCCTTGAGGTTTTCTCAGGGAAAGTTTACTGCATGTTTAAAGAGATTTTATGACAGAATAGAGACTCATAAAAACTTCAGCAGCACTTGTTTTCCCACACCTAATAAGAATAAACAACAATCACATACGCACATGAACTTTACTATAAACCTGTGTTTGTAGGAAGTTTCTGCGCGTCAGTCTTATTTCACATGTTGCAAATAGGACAAAAAATAAATAAAACAGGCTGATGAACACATTAATTCTAAAGTTTCAGGACCCAACCTGCATACTCTGGTATCAGGCTTATCTATGCAGCACGAGGTCTGATACAGTTAAGCTGAATGAGCTCACAGCGCCACACGAACAGCAAAACCCAGTTCGGTCATTTTCTATTAGGCTTTATTTAGATGCGTCACATGGAGTCCTGGACTTTATTGAATTTCTGCAGCTCAGAAGATGCACAAACATCCCTGTTGCACATAAATCTGCATGGATTTATGAAGATATGCTCAAACATACACTCCTTGGTGTAATTAGCACAAAGCGAGGATTCATCCTGGTAAACATGAGGAAACGAAGGCAGGAATGGGAGCTTTGCTGCTTATTGTTGGTGTCATTATGAGCCATTGTTGCCCATGCCACTGGGCAATGCAGTCACTACGCTCATGTCAAGCAAATTAAGCTTAAACAGGGCGACCCTTACGTAACGTGGCATATTTTCTCATTAGCAGAAATCCATTCAGCTCTCCTCAGTTCATGTGGACTGATTACAGAGCTGCGTGATTAAGACAGCCGCAGAGCTTTAAACTTTCACGCTTGTTCTGTAAATTTACACAAAACAGACATGCTGCTGCATGTGGGCAGAAACCTAAACACACATACGCACAGGCTTTTATATCACACACACACACACACACACACACACACACACACACACACACACACACACACACACACACACACACACACACACACACACACACACACACAGAGAATGTGCACTCTCTTAATGAGAGCACCCATGGAAATCTAGGACACAAGGACAAGAGTCTGTGAGGGGGCTGACGACCTGTAATTAAATACAATGGCTGGCTTCTGGAGCCCTGTCAAGCTGAGGCATGGAGCAAAACAATGGCGGGCCTGTGGATGGAAAGACAGAGAGGACAGAGCTACTTAGGCCTTCAGCAGCTCCCATCAGGCCAAGCTCTGATCAACACTAACCAACGCACAAGCCTGCCTATTGTGTAATACACCCCAAACAAAACATCATATTGACTAAAACTAAAAGCACTGACTCATTTTAGCCTGGAGAGCTTCCCTTGATGTCCTTGCAGCATTTCAGCACCAGAAATGTGCATGTGGCAGAAACGTTGAGTCCAGAGCTCAGAGCCCAGAAAAATCACCGCAGCAACTAACAGCGAGCGAGCCCAGCGAGGGTACGATTCCTCCATCCAACACTGGGCTGGAACGATGAGAGAAAAGCACTCTGGTCGGGCGTTTGAGAAACATAAAAACGTTGCTGGCTACTGAGATCTTCTGCAGTTAGGTAGGAAAGTGAAACAGGAACCATTAATCAGACAGACATCTGAATTAAAGTGTGCCACCTGGCATGTTGTCGAATCAGCCCCAGGAGCACGACCTGAAACAGACCCGAAACCACACCGTGTTTAACCAGAGGCGGTCAGCTCGGCTGAAACCTGACCGTAATTTAAGTAAGTATTTATCCTCAGCACCCGCAGACACGGTTTATTTAGATTTTCAGGCATTGTGTGTGTGTGTAAACTGAACTCAAACGCCTCAATGACCTGAGGTGGTGAGGTGTTCTCAAACTGAAAGTATCGCTGATTCAATTAAAGCTGGAGTGTGAGTCCTCCGTAATGCTGCTCTCTAAATTCACTCTTAGTGCACTCAGGCCCGAGTCGAGCCATCATAGCCACAGCGTCCGCGAGCAATTACCGCCGACTTAGACTTAAACGGACAAATATGCACAAGACTGAAATGAAATCTGTTCTGATGATGAACTGCCCCGCGCGGTGATACTGACAGAGGATAGCCTGGCTAACATCACCGCTTCAAAGGCATCAAGAACAAGGAGCACACACACACACACGAGCCTGCTGGCTATTATCAGGCCTCCAGACACCGAGCTGTCTCAGACCAGCACAACTGAGCGATTCTTGGGGTTCAGCTTTAGGTTAGTCCTCTGAGATTTGATTACCTTCATCCCCACTGGTTACTGGGTCTGGCTGTGAAGCATATTAATGAGATTTCACCATCATTAGAGGCAAGCTAACTACATTAGCAGGCTGGCAGGCTGGACTGTGGCAGAAAGAGCTGGAGAAAATGATGATGGGGGGGGGGGGGGGGGGGGGGGGGGGGCTTCCACTTTGTTGGATCCTACTCAGCCGTGGTCCATTGTGCTTCTCTGGGTTCCATTAGGTTAACTGGACACACACACACACACACACACCACATGGAACGTATAGAAATGCATTCGTCTTCCCATCCATACATTGAGGGCAAAGAGCAGAAAGCAGACAGAAGAAAACCTCTACGCCACAGGCTGCTGAATAAAGGCCGTCTTTGAAGGCTGCTTAAAATAATGAAGTTGGATGGCTAATGGTGGAGCCCGGGGGACAAAGAGTGCCTTGCAGAAACCCTGCGAGTTGTCTCATGAATGTCCCCTAAAGACCAACAATGTCCAGAGTTGTTATGCGTTCAGAAAAGTGCACGAACGTTACAGAATATGTGATACACACTTAATGTGGAATGCTTGGTCAGCACTCTTGAATAACCAAAAGGGGAAATGGGACTTGTTTCCTTGCTTACAGGGAAATCCTGCTATTCTCTAACAAAAAAAAATCTGGTTCCATTCACCACCTTCACACTGATTACAGACAGCCAAAAGCCACGCACGCCATCTGAATAAGAGCCGGCGTTGAGGGCGTGCATGATCACACGCTAACAGGTTCGCACAGACTGACAGCTGTAAGAGAGAGCACCAGTGGGGTGTGTTTGTGTTCAAACATCCGAGAGTGTGAACAGTTATTAGACAGGATAGAGGCAGGAATCTGATGGAAGGGTGGGCAGAAGTGAAAACACACACACACAGCTTGCAGAGCTGCATTCAGCTCCTGCTCTCTCCAACTGGAGCTTTTAACCGCAAAAATAATTTGAAATGATCCGAATTATTTTTCACAAATTTATGAAGAAAAAAGTCAAATTATCAAATGACTGATTAAAGCTGTTAAAA